TTTTTTAAATTGAATTTATTTTTATCGAATGAATTATTAGACGTGATGTCTTTTGGATTTTTTTTTTTTTTTAAGAAAGTAGTTCAGGCATATTTCAAATATTTTTTCATATTCCAAAATATTATCAAATAAATATTTATATTTAATTTTTTTTAAAAAATATATAAATTAGGCTTTCCGTAAATTTCTACTGTATTGAATTTTGAATATTGAATCTTTGATATTGTGAGGTAAACATTATGAATGATCTGTATATTTTCCTTTCACTTACAATTGTAAATAACTTATAATAAATATATTGGGTTAAGTTATCACAAAATGAGTATTTATTTATATGCTCTTTATAATTAATATATTTATGATGCATTTGACATATGAAATATATTATAATATTTTAACAAGTGTAAAACAAAACCCAAAGATTTATTAATGACAGTTATTAAGCCAATACAAATAACAATACCTCTAAATTAAACTACAATAAAATTTCTATTAATTAAGTATTCAAAGATTTATCTAGCTTTTATAGTAAAATATTATAATTTTTTGGGGCGTACTTTGGATCATATAATGTTTATTATACGAATTTTATATTAACGGAAAAAAGATCACTTTGAAGATTATTAAGAATGTTTAGAAATGTGTTTGGTTAGTTCAAATAAATTGTGAATATATGTTTGGTTGCGAGGATAAATGGTGGGTATGTTATATAGATTACAAAATTGCCCTCATTTTTAAATATTAATATAATAGTATTTTTTATTATTATTTTTTGAATCATTTCTTTTAACCCTCACATTTGAAATTTTGCAAAACACCACAACTATATAAAACTTTAATTTGTAGCAAATCACCCCCCCCCCCACCCCAAGCCATTACCGAAGCCAACCAACTACCACTGTCGGTAGTTCGGATGACGCACGATTGGCCGTATAGGCCAGTCTTGCGCCGCAGCCAAAATGGCCATGGATCACAATCCATGGTTGAAAAAACAGCCGCTATGGCTATTTCACTCCATAGATTTGGCTGTGAAAATGCCAGATCTTTGGCTATGAACCGCCATAGAAATGCCACTGACTGTTTCCAACCATGACTCTATACCATGGCTAGAAAAGGCTTAATGGCCACGATTGGTTAGTCCTCTATTGTTGCACCATTACGGCGATTGACACCGACAACGGGAGGTGGTGAGTCACACCAGCAATCTGGGGTATTTTGTTAACTTTTAAATTTTTTTGTGTCTGGGGTGTTTTAAGCAATTTCTCAAATGTAGGGGGGCTAGATAATTGTTATTTGGTAGATATTTAAGGACAATTGTGTCCGAAATGGTTTTAATTAAGGGTAAAATGGGTAGAAAAATCAAATTACCCCAGTAATATTTAATAACACTACTGCCTAGCAGTAATAAATTACCCCTTATATTCCAAACATAAACACTATTTGCAATAAAAATTACCGTAATATTTTATTACTTGCAAACCAAACACCGAAATCTTGCAAAATAAATGAAGATTACCCTCGTTACTTATATATACCCCGAATCCAAACGGGTCCTTGTTGTAATTTCACTTTTTGTTTCGACCCATTAAATATTGCATCAAATACAGATTTTTGATATTTATCTTTTTTTTTTTTTTTTTTTTTCTAACTTCAATATTTTGATATGATCTATATGTGGGTAGTCAGATGGTTAGAATGAATGAGATAGTGTGGATAGTACACGGTCTCATGTTCAATTCCCCATATGACACATCCGCAATTTAAGTGAGGGATCGGGGTGGATATAAATTGCGGATGCACATATATAGATTTTTTTTTTTTAAGTAAAAGTATGAAACCAAAACAATTAACAGTAGTTTATTTAACAACAAATTTTAGAAAAGATATTTATTTTGTAAATTATGAAAAGATATACAAACTTTCTTCATTTTGTTCTTTGTACAATTAAATAATAGATTAAAAAATTCATTATATAATTTATAAATGTTTTTGTGGGATTTTTTTTGTAAAACTAGAATTTAATTTATAATTTGATGAATTTAAAAACAATTTCACATATATGTATATATATTTGACAATTTTTCAAAGTCAAGGACGGTCACTGCCCTCCTTGACCCCCCTCCCTCCCTCCCTGCCTGCTTACATATAGTACTACAATTGTTACTTGATTTCATACCAAACTTCTTTCTCTCTGCCAACTTGGTTTGTTGATCATTATCATTCTTCATTTCCTCTCGTTATTCATGGATTTGAGGTCTCGAAAACCATCTGAAAAGAAGATGCTCAAGCTTAAACAAAAGAAGATAGTACCGCTCCATCAAAACTCCATCAACGGAGGTGGCGAATGGCTTTCCGGGCATATGTTTCACCAAGGTTCTTGCTTCTTTGTCCCGGAAGGTTCTTGAGAACAAGTCCTTGCTGCGCTCTGTTTCTTACCATGCCATTGATGTCCCTATGAAAACCAGGGAAATAACAATGGCACGAGGCTTTTCCTGACGATGTTAAGAAGAAGCTTTCCGAGATGGTGAAAGACAGATTCTTCATTCTCTTGAACTTCGGAGGAGTAAAACAGATTGCTACTTTGCTGGAAAGCCATCCGGAAACTGGTATCAGCGGCAAGGAAGCTGATCTTGCTCAAAGAAGAATGCCTTTGGAGAAACAGACAAGAACCCTCTGAAAGATTTCTCAGCTTTGTTCTGAAGCGTTTAAAGATACAACTATTATTAACTTCTTTTTGTGCTGTACTCTCTCTGGTGTTTCGGCATTAAAGAAGATGGCTGGAAAGAAGGGTGGTACGATGGTGGTAGCATTATCATTGCTGTGATTTTGGTTGTCTCTGTCTCTGCAGGGAGCAATTTTAAACAGAGTAGACAGTTTGAGCTCTCTCGGATGAAATGTAACGAAATTCAAGTGGAGGTGGTGAGGGACGGGAGGCGCCACCGTATATCGATCTTCGATATAGTTGTTGGAGATGTTGTGCCTTTGAAGATTGGTAATCAATTCGGGCTGATGGGTTGTTCCTGGAAGCCAATCCTTGAAATGGATGAGTCAAGCATGACTGGAGAAGTGACCAGGTTGAGGTCAATGAAAAAATCCATCTTGCTCTCTGGTACTAAAGTCATCGATGATTTGTTTTATGCTCGTTACTTCTTGTGGCATGAGCACAGCCTGGGTCAATTGATGAGCACTATAAGCATGAAGTGAATGAGACGACTCCATTGCATCTCGTCTCAACGTGCTGACTTCTTACATTGGAGATCGATTGACGGTGGCAATGTAGTCCTCGCTGCATGCTATTCGTTATTTTACTGGAAGTACCAGAGACAAGAAAGGAAACAGAGTTTCAGGGAGCAAGACTAAGTTCGATGATGTATGAATTCGGTGATTGTATAATTGCAGCCGCAGTCACAATTTTGGTTGTGGCGATTCCTGAAGTTTGCCTCTGGCTTTTACTCTTACTCGGGCTTTTTCTATGAAGCGAATGATGAAGGATCATGCAATGGTTCGGAAGCTCTCGCTGTGTGACGATGGGGTCAGCCACAATAATTTGTACAGATAAAACTGGTACTCTTACTGTAAACCAGATGAAGTTACGGATTCTGTTGGCTTGAAAAGAGAAAGTATATGTTGCTTCCTCAGAAGGTAGTGCTTCCCCAGAAGACACGGAAGAAGTAAAAGAATTTCTGTAATTTGCTGCAAGAAGCAATCGGTTTAAACACGACTGTAGCTTAATAAACCGTGCTCCACTGCACCTGAGATTATGGTAATCCGACTGAAAAGCATTCTTTCTTGGGCTGTCAATGATTGGGAAATGGATGTTAATGAACCCAAGCATAGTTTCAAAAGATCCAAATAGAGTCCTTCAATTCAGAGAAAAAGAGAATGGATTTCGTTGAAGAGGTACAACGAAGGGTGAGGGTGTTCACATGCACTGGATGGGCTGCAGAGATAATATTTGCATGTGCTCCCATTATTATCTCAAAGATGGGAAGGGAAGCCATGGATGATGAAAAAGAAACCAAATTGCAAAATATTTAGGGATGGCAGGCAAGAGCTTGAATGCATTGCCATGGCACACAAAAAAGTTGAAGAAACGGAGAAATTCAACGAATCTTGAAGAAACCGGACTGATCTTATTGGGGATTTTCGGCTTGAAGGATCCTGTCGCCCAGGTGTAAGCGAAGCTGTAAAATCTTGTACAAGTGCAGGGGTGAAAATCAAGATGGTAACTGGAGACACCTGCACACGGCAAGACTATAGCTATTGAATGCGGAATCCTCGAACCGGATTTCGATATGAGCTAATTCGAGTGTGTAAGTTCAGAATATACTCCCCTCAAGAAAGAGATGATAAGATTGATACCATTCGAGAATGGCTATCTTCCCGTTTGACAGCTTTTGATGTTCAAACATTGAAGAAAAAGGGCCAGTTGTAGCAGTAACTGTGACGCACAAACGATGCCCCTGCTTTAAAGGAAGCAGACATTGGACTTCCTAATTCAGGGACAGAAGTAGCAAAGGAGAGCTCAGATATTATAATCATGATGACAATTTCACCACTGTGGTTACAGTTCTGAAGTGGGGAAGATGCGTCTTCAACAACATTCAAAAGTTCCTTCAATTTCAGCTCACTGGAATGTTCAGCTCTTGTTATCAATTTTGTCGCCGCTGTTTCCTCAGTAAAGTTCCACTATCTGCCGTTCAGTTGCTATGGGTAACCTGATAATGGATTCCTTGGGACATTAGCATTGGCCACAGAGCCGCCCCACAATGATCTCATGAAAAACCCCCTGTCGGTCGATCAAAGCCTCTTATAACCAAGTCATGTGGAGGAACCTCATTTCTCAGGCCTTTATCAAGTAGCTGTCTTACTGATTCTACAGTTCAGAGGAAAAGAAATCTTTAAAACAACGAGAGAGTCACAATACATGATTTTCAATACTTTTGTCCTCTGTCAGGTCTTCAATGAGTTTAATTCTCGGAACCCTGGAGAAGAAGAACATATTTAGGGGAATATGGAGGAACAAATTGTTCCTGGCAATTATTGCAATTACCATAGTTCTTCAATTGATCATGGTTGAGCTACTGAAAAATTTTGCTAATACTGAGAGGCTGAATTGGGGGCAATGGGGTTTTTGCGTTGGGATTGCAGCTTTGTCATGGCCGATTGCTTTTATCTTCAAGTTGGTTCCAGTGAGAAGAGCTTCTAATCCTGGATCCAGAAGGGAGGATTCATTTCACCATTAATGAACATCGTTTAATATGCAGTATCATCCATATCAACTAATTCATGAAACTGATGTATATTATTGTGATGTGATCTTTTTTCTTAGCAATTTGTGTAGGTATTTTATGCGTGTAATGTTATTATTTGTAAATATTAATCGATTGATTTGGTAATGAATAGAAATTTGTTTGCTAAACAGGGGACTTCTGTTGCTTCTGCTTATTCAGTTTCATCGTGTTCATTTTACTATGCTTCCTGCTTTTCGACATCTCTTGTCAAGAAAAAGCACTAAATTGCAGTCTGCGACGGAAAGCAAAAAAAGAAAAAGGAAAAGAAAAGACTAAAAAATAATTAAAAAACAAAGTTCTAGCTAAAGAAAAGACTAAACAATAATAGAAAGGAATCACGCATTCCAAGGATACAACACTATATCAAAATAAATCATACTATATCTCAAGTTTGTATATTGATTCTGATGTGATATTTTTTCTTCGCAATTTGTGTAGGTATTTTATGTGTGTAATGTTATTATTTGATCGAAAATGATAGAACCACCAAAGGTTGTGCATCGAATGACATGGCAAAATCCTGACCGTTGATTTATTATCAGTTAATATTAATCAACGGCTAGGATTTTGCCACATCATTCAGTGCACAGATTCGGTGCACAACCTTCGGTTGCTGTAGTATTACTCTTATTTGATAGGGCTGAAAACAGCCAGATTGGTGCATGACTAGCATCCGGTCGATCTACGTTGTTTCGGCATTGACAATTGGCGGCTGGTGGTGGTGGCAAGTCCGATATTCTTGTAAATTGTTTTCAACACAAGGACATTTTTGTCCAAAAGTTTTGTGTATGAAGATAAAATAGTCCATAAATGTTCTTGTAAATTTATTTAGAAACAAGGGCAAATTTTGTCCAAAATCTTTAATAATTAGGGGTAAAATTGTAACAAAAATAAGATTACCAAGTAATCTTAAAATACCTAGGAAAAATGTGACATTTATATTACTACCTATATAACCAACAATGATTACTATTGGTTTTCAAAGATTACTATTAGGGTGTGTTTGATTCTAAGAATATTGTATTACTAAGAATGTTATATTAATGGAAAGATAGATTACCATGAAGATTACTGGGAATGTTTAAGGAAATGTGTTTGGTTAGGTTGAAATAAATTGGTGGGTATGTTATATTGATATGTTTGGCTGGGAGGTAAATGAGTGGGTATGTTATATATATTACTAAAATGCCCTCCTTTTAAAATGTTAATATAATATTATTTTTATTATTATTTTTTGAAACATTTTTTTAAATCCTTACATTTGAAATTTTGCTAAAACATCACGGCCATATAAAACTTTAATTTATAGCAAAACCACCCCCATCCACCTCAAGCCACTACTGATAGCCAGCCACCACCGCTAGCAGTCATTGGAATGGCGCATGATCGACCGGATTTGGTCAGTCGTGCGCCGATAAGGCTGCTTCATGGCCACATATATGGTCATGATTTGGCTGTTTCCTGCCAGATTGGCACACGGCTGGCTAGATCTCGCCGGTCGTGTGTTGATATGGTGATTGTCACCGGCAGCCAGTGATAGTCTTGGGTGGCTGGGGGTATTTTATTAATTTTTAAACTTTTTTTTGGTTGAGGTGTTTTAGCTAAATTCTCAAATGTAGGGGGTTTGGGCTAATGGTTATTTGGTACACATTTGAGGGTAATCGTGTCCGAAATGATATTTAATTAAGAGCAAAAGAGGTATAAAAATCATATTATCTCGGTAATCTTTTAATAACACCCCTGGCAAAGTAATCTGATTACTCTTTATATTACCAACACTATTTGAAGCAAAAGATTACTGTAATATTTTATTACTTGCAAACCAAACAAGGGAATCTTGAAAATTAAATGAAGATTACAGGAGTATCTTATATGATCTTGAACCAAATAGACCATTGGTTTTAAAAGATTACCGAAATTTTATATTACTTGTCAATCAAATATGATAATGTAAGTAATAGAATATGACATTACCTCAATAATAGGGGATAACCCAAACCAAACAACCCTTTAATTACCTTTAATTAATGATTTAATTCAATTGAAACATGACTAGTTACCTTGGAGTATATAATCGGACAGCCAGCTAGTATATAGTTATTAGACATATGGAATTAAAATAAATTGTATAAAAATAAAAATATTTAAATATTTGTATATTATAATTGTTAAACAATTCAAAGAAATAATAAAAAGAGGAGGCTAGGGTTTCATTGATACTGCACAATGTAATTAAATACAAAAAGTATGATTTAACCTAAATACAAAGATATATATAGGCTAAACAAAGGAAATAATGAAAAGACAGATTTACCCTTAATAAACAATAAAACAAAATAACCCATATTTCTTAACATCTCCCCTCAAACTCACGATGCGGCAGCTACAAGCATCGAGAGTTTGCCAACTAGAAAACGAAAATGGGAAATAGAATGCGACTTGGTAAAGAAATCTGCAATTTAACTTGTCTGTAGTTCAATAGAGTACATATACTTTTGCTGGAGAAGAAAAATCCCTTCCAAAGTTCTTGATTTCCAAGATTGGGATATCACAATTGTGGGAAATGAGCATACTTTATATGCTTAATTTCTTTTGAATTTCAAAAATTAATCAATAAGCCTGAAAATTGAGCCTAGATAAAGCATCGGATATCTATTTGAAAGTTTTGTAGACACTGTTGCTGAATTGCGAGTTAACACTATAAATTATGAGCTAGATACATAGATTTTATTTACTAACCATATTCATATTGTAAAGATAGACGAAAAAAATAGAAAAGAGTGATATCAATCCATCAAATTGGGTGTGGATAACGTGAATTCTTATAATTTATAGTACTCTTGAATCCCAATGTTTTAGGATTCCATTTTAACTTATTGTGTGTGTCTAAAGCAAATTTAAGATTATATATGAAGAAAAACTTATGATAATATTAGTAAACTATGTGCATAACTAAAAAAAATTACAATTTTAATGCATTAAAAACAAAAACTTTATCCCCTTATTAACGACCATGTTAAAATCTTTTCTAAATGATTGTTATAGCTATTGTAATTAATTATGCATTTTCTTTGAGGAAACATTATACATGTTCTACACTACATTTGACTTGATACATAAAAAGTAAATATTATTTATAAATTTTAGAAAATGATATGCTAGGCCGCAAGGAAACTTCATGATCTACGTTATCATTAAATGCATACTTGAAAGTATAATGGTGAGATCGATGATAAATTTTGTAATTTGAGTCAATTTTTTAAATTGAATTTTTTTTTATCGAATGAAGTATTAGAGTGAGTCTTGGTTTTTTTTTTTTTAAGAAAAGTAGTTCAGGCATATTTCAAATATTTTTCATATTCCAAAATATTATCAAATAATATTTATATTTATAATTTTTTAAAAAATATATATTAATAAGGGCTTCCGATAAATTTCTACTGTATTGAATTTTGAATATTGAATCTTTGATATTGAGGATAAACATTATGAATGATCTTTATATTTTCCTTTCACTTACAATTGTAAATAAACTTATAATAATAATATATTGGGTATAGTTATACAAAATGAGTATTTATTTATAATGCCCTTATAATTAATATATTTATGATGCATTTGACGATATGAAATATATTTATAATATTTAACAATGTAAAACAAAACCCAAAAGATTTATTAATGAACAAGTTATTAAGCCAATACAAATAACAATACCTCTAAATTAAACTACAAAAAATTTCTATTAATTAAGTATTCAAGATTCATTTCTAGCTTTTAAGTAAAATATTTAATTTTTTGGGGCGTACTTTGGATCAATAATGTTTTATTATCGAGAATTTTATATTAACGGAAAGAAAGTACTTGAAGATTATTAAGAATGTTTAGAAAATGGTTTGGTTAGTTCAATAAATTGGTGAATAATATGTTTGGTTGCGAGGATAAATGGTGGGTATGTTATATAGATTACAAATTGCCTCTTTTTAAATATATTAATAGTATTTTTTATTATTATTTTTTGAATCATTTCTTTTAACCCTCACATTTGAAATTTTCGAAAACACCACAACTATATAAAACTTTAATTTGTAGCAAAATCACCCCCACCCACCCCAAGCCATTACCGAAGCCAACCAACTACCAGTTGGTAGTTGACGGAATGACGCACGATTGGCGTATAGGCCAGTCGTGCGCCGGCAAAGCCAGAAATGGCCATGGATCACAAATCCATGGTTGAAAAACAGCAGATCTATGGCTATTCACGTCCATAGATTGGCTGTGAAAATGCCAGATCTTTGGCTATGAAACGGCCATAGAAATGCCTGATCTGACTGTTTCAAACATGAATCTATGATCCATGGTTAGAAAAGGCTTTACTGGCGCACGATTGGTTAGATCCTATAGTGTGCACCATTACGGCGATGACACCGACAACGGGAGGTGGGGAGTCACGACCAGCAATGGCTGGGGTATTTTGTAACTTTTAAATTTTTTTGTGCTGGGGGGTTTTAAGCTAATTTCTCAATGTAGGGGGGCTAGATAATTGTATTTGGTAGATATTTAAGGACAATTGTGTCCGAAATGGTTTTAATTAAGGGTAAAATGGGTAGAAAAATCAAATTACCCCGTAATATTTAATAAAACACTGCCTAGCAAGGTAATAAATTACCCCTATATACCAACAGTAACACTATTTGCAATAAAAGATTACCGTAATATTTATTACTTGCAAACCAAACACCGAAATCTTGCAAAATAAATGAAGATTACCCTCGTTATCTTATATACCCCCGATCCAAAGCGGTCCTTGTTGTAATTTCACTTTTATGTTTCGACCCTTAAAATATGCATCAAATACAGATTTTTGATTTATCTTTTTTTTTTTTTTTTTTTTTTCTAACTTCAATATTTTGATATATCTATAGTGGGTAGTCTAGATGGTTAGAATGAATTGAGATAGTGTGGATAAGTACACGGTCTCATGTTCAATTCCCCCTATGAGCATCCGCAATTTAAGTGAGGGGTGGTGGATATAAATTGCGGATGCTACATATATGATTTTTTTTTTTAAGTAAAAGTATTGAAACACA